GTGCCAGCATTGTTTCGGTCATAATATTGGATGTAAGTGCACGACGCAAGAATATTTTTCAGCTACCGATATATAGTTTGAGGGAGATAAGTACGCTTTTATTCCAACCAAACTTTACTAAAAATTACATCCATAATGCTTTGAGCGCTTCGAAACTGTCGATGTCCACAAGTTTTTTAATCGTTTTATATTTATTTAGCCGGTCTTACCCTTACATGATCAATCTAATGTTGCAGGTGCAGCAGTTAAAATACTTACTTGTACCCTGGCAGAATATTACTTCGCTGAAGGGAGGGGGGAAGCAAAAAATTGTTTTGCGGGCAAACAAATCATTATTTTCTTTTTTGCAGCCGCAAAATGATTATTTGGAGGGGTTGCATATAATTTATTTCGGTTTATTGCGCTTGCAAATAATTCATTTCTGTATTTACGGTTCTGCAAACAATTGATTTCAAAATTATTTATTCTCCTACGTACACCCCACATGCAAATAGAGTAATAGTATACATTCCACTGGCACTCGCTGCCAGGATTTTTTGGAATGAAAACTGTATATGATATGTTGCCTTATTGTTGCATAAAAGCCTAAAACTAAATTTATTGGGATGACTACCGGTTTAGAAAAGCATTAATATTTGGATGACCCTAAAAGCCGCAACGGTGGAACGACGGAATGGCGAAATGGCGGAAAATTACCCCAAATCCTAAAACATGGAACGGCGGAGAATGACCTTAAATCCTAAAACATGGAACGGCGGAAAATGACCCCAAATCCTAAAACAAGGAATCGCGGAAAATGACCCCAAATTCTAAAAGACGGAACGGATGTCGGCAAGTTGCACTAATTTTGTACAAAGACACTCAAGCGCTTGGCTCATTCATCCCCACGACGATAACGCACGTGACTAAAATGAAGTATTACTAATTTTTGTTCTTTTACTGACTGGTATGAATAACTTCAAAAGGAAACAAACGAATTAGTAATCACTGCTGTGTATTATTTTAGTGACTGTTTAATTTTTTTTTAACCTTTATACATAAAAGATTGCTACGTTTTCGCGTTGTAAGCCTGTTTAGTTATCTTTTGTTATGCTAATTTTGCCATGGGTTTAAGTCGCCGCATAAAAAGTCGCACAGCGGGTGAAAACTAACTAAACATACCAAATTACAATAAACAATTGTAATTTTGATACATCTCCTTACCTGTAGGTAACACTCTCCAAACTGGCAGGCTCAACATTTCTCAGACTCTGCAGGGTTGGAGCTGCAGCAGTGCGTGTTCACCTTCTCAACACTGCCGACTGCCTCGTTGCACAAACGTTGTATTCCCCAAGACATTCACTGGATCGGGGACGGTAAGTACTAGTCGGTGATCCGGAGCACTTCAAGGCACCATCCAAAAGCGCCATGTAGTAATGAAAGGTCTTCGGTCGAGCAACACTCAGGGAATATTAGGGTCTTTCCACTCGATCGATTTCACTTTGTGATCAATCTCTAGGTCGACTCGATTCTGTTGATCCCGTAACTTTGTCAACTACATCTATTCCACTTTACTTCTCCCCACATGAAATACGTCTCTTGTTTTATCTGAGCTCACCAGCTCGTGCCTCGCTTTAAAAGGTCAGTGTAATCAGCTGATCTTCTCCTTACTAGGTTGCCACAGCGCCAACTTTCTCCACATTTCCCTGGATAGCATTCATAGTATCCCAATAGCTTCAGTTTGTGTTTTGACGTAAGATATTCCGTCGTAATTAACACTCTATTTGGCACCGTAAATTAAAATTCCAGAGATTAAGAACGGGCATCAGATTCCACTTTTTGGAATCTGAAAAGGCGAGACACCTCTGGCACGTACGCTCCAGAGAACAGCACGATACGTCGACTATTTGAGAGTGTTGAGTTATTTCGCTTGAAAAGCGTGTACAGGTTAATCTCATTATCATCAAGTAACTGATAATGCCTTGCGCGCCCTGGCTTCAAAATTGCAGGTTAACGTTCACGTGACGGTCAGCCATGGTGAGGCGTTCTCACGCGTCCATTCACCGTCAGCTATATGGGTTAAGTCGGTTACTACGCATAACTTTGAAGTGTGTGCTCGTGAGTCAGGTATTGGATCAAATGGTACAGGAATCATCAACTGGTTGGCTTTCCAAGATCATCCTCAAATGACCCGTGGTAGTGTTTCTTTTAGTGGAATATGGACAACCGAAACTAAGTGTGACAAAGTTACCTTTTCACAGGTAAGAAGAAATAAGGAAATAAAACAAAACTGTGAGGTCAAACCCCTCTGAGCATGTTCTACCCTAATAAGAAAGACCTTAGACCAACTTGCAAAGTGAATCCCGCCTACTTCATGTGGAACACATTTCCATGCTGATTTAAACAGGCCACTCAATGCTCAGAAATTTCGGTGGTGGATTGTAAAGTCTAGATCTTGCAAGGTAAAGAAAGAAAGATTTAGGAAAGATTTGGAGCTTTTCGCTCTCAGCCAATGAAAGACAAGATATCCAACATATAAACCTTTAACTTGTGGCCATGATATGTTGTCTAGCTGAATGATTTTTATTAGATCTAAGGGGAATTTACTCCATAGACATATTTCATATATTATCCAAAAACATTGCAGAGTTTTCTTGGAGGACCATCCGTGTTTGTGTCAGCTAGGTACACACGTGACACAAAGCCAAATGACGCTATGTATGTTTGGTTGGAACGTGTAAATTCCAGAAGTTTCGAGGTGTGCATCCGGGAGTTCCTGCCCTTCGATGGAAAACATCGAGACACCATTGTGGTAAGAGATACATCTACTGTAGTNATCTGGGAGGAATGGAAACAACTTCAATCCTTTCGCCACCATTGATTGGATGGCGTACCAAGGAGCACCCCCCGAGGGAATGACGGGAAGAATCAAAATGACAAAATGGTGGTCAGGAACGAATTGTGCAGATGTGACGTTTCGAAAGGTAATTTACTATTTAAATAGTTGTATGCATCCAGATAATTCTTTTGTACATCCGGTTTCACTCTCGTTTCATTGGCTTAATTGACAATAAAAACAACATATAATACTGATAGCAATAATTTAATTAATAATGATAATAATAATAATAATAACAACAACTCTATTAATAGCATATAAAATTAACACCTATTTACATAACAATCAATTATATAAGATGAAAACAAGATAATAGCTTAGCTTTCAAAAAAATCTGACCAAAAAACTAGGCTGGAAACTTCCTTTACGAGGCTCGCGAGTTTCTAGGAGAGTTCACTTAAGAGCAAAGTAATGCTGATCTCAGCAGCGCTAAGGACACTCTTGCCCTGATCCATGACATGGTAGTCGCATAGCTTTCGTCATTCTTTGTAGCAAGTAGCTCAGCAAGTCTACTATGGTATCGTTCACATCCCATCGCCATTCCATCTGTCATGCTAAAAACTAATGGCGTGAATGTAGCTTGCTCTACTTCTAACACGCGGCTTGCGTACTGACGCTTCTTCTCTGTTTCTTGCTGCCTGAATATCTGGTCTAGATCCATATCTCTAGAGGTGTCTTCATTTGGATGGCACACTCTCACATCAAAAAAAGCCGACCTCTGCCTCTCCTAGAATCACCTAGCAACTATATCCATTCGTGCATTAGGGGCGGTTTGAGCTCCCTATTCAACTCTTCTCTTGGGATGTCTGAAAAACTGGTTCTATTCTAATACTATTGCACACCATGCGAAGTAGTTCCGCCTCCAAATCTCTCACTTCATTATGGCGTTGTATGATAAATTCGCCCCGTTTGCATATCATAGCACGATCAAAAATGAAGATGTTCCCGCAGACACAGAGAGAGGACGTATCAGGAGCTTCTCAGTGGTTGCCTGAGTTTCACAGCGTCTCGAAACTCACTCTTGTTTAAATTTAGAATTCATATCTTTAAGTGGCAAAACAGTAAGCCAACTAGAAGCAATCTTCTCAGTGGCAAGGTCCAGAGCTCCTACAGTTTTTTCACAAATCGAGCGCTTCACCTCATCAAGTTTTTACTTTAGATACTGATTTTTCATTTGGTGCACTTCCCATTGCACAGCGTGTATTTCATTTTCGTCTGGTGGCTCACACGCCTGTGATTCTATTTGTTGGGCTGATGGAACGGCGATATTAGCCGATGCTACATACTCTACGGCTGCTATTTGACTCGGATTCATTAAGCCGATGCCTCCCATTTTCCCTGGCAGCACCAGCAGCCCGCGTTCAGCTTGTGTACAGTTTGTGACCTGTAATAGATGGTATTAGGGCATCAGCTATTGCACGCTCCAGAGGTGCGAGTAGATCCTCTATGTCAGGCAGGGTTCTCATAAAGTACGTCCCGCGGTGTTTTAATCCAAAAGCAAACGCTGGGTAGCAAGCCAGCTGGGGCTGCAACAGAGCAAACTCAGCCAATTTTGTCACCTGCCCTACCCATTCCTCGACCTTATTGTTGACGCACTGCTTAAGATAGGACCTGGAGCCCATGATAATAATAATAATAATAATAATAATAATGATAATAATAACAATAATCTTTATTATTATTATTATTATAACTATAACAATAATGATGATAATAAAGAGACGTTCGGTAAAAAAGGTTAACACAGACAGCAATTTACTCAAATCTGATATCATTTTAATAGTTGATCCCCCCGCAAACTAATAATGATTCAGATGACTTTGTAAAGATCAATACAGACCAAACTCAATTTGAAAAAACTGCCAAAATGTAGTCAGATTTGTGATGAAATTGTTTATTTTCATGTGTTTAGGACAAGTTTAAGGTTTCACCAGTTGTTCTTGTGACATCTCATCACCAAAGATGTGGAAAGGAACACGACGCTGCGTTGATCTGGACAGAGGATGTAACCAAGGACTCGTTCAAGGCTTGTTTGCGGGAGTTACAAAACTTTGACGGGAAGCATCAGGACATTTATGTGGTATGTGATATGCTTTCTCTCTGTTGTAAAATCGATGAAGCTCTGAGATTAGGGTTATTTTCTTAAGGCTCACCAAGGTATCGGCTTAATTTAGTAACATGCTTGGATCTTTGCATGCTTTGATTTGTGCTCAAATTAGATTAGAATTCTCTTAGTTTCATTCCATTACAATTTTTTTCATTGAATTTTAAGATCTTTTACTGTGTGAAATCATTTGTAACTCATTGAAAATGCGTTATGGTACTCACTAGAAGTAAGTCTTGTTTTCTGCATTGGTTCTTTACAGACCTGGTTTGCGTTTGCTAAGTTGCACAAGCCACTCTTCACTGAGCATGGCTCTGTAAACTTTCCAAATACGAATCCACCAACAGATGAAGACAACAACGCTTACTGCGAGGTAAGTGTGCATTGTAAGTCTGAGTCGAGCACTGCGATTATGGAAAATTAAAGTAATTAACGACGATGCTCAGGAAAACATTTCTTCAAGAATTTCCTTCAGTATCTGTTTTTCATCTTACTGACAGTTTGTACACTTTACACGAAGTTACAATGCGACACCATCCGTCCAAATATCAGCCAATCACAGCACAACAGCGAGTGGAAACTTGGCGCCAGTTCATAACGGTATTTCTGCGTGGATTGAGGTAAAAAGCTTTTTACTTGGTAGACTTAAGAACAACTCTTCATATAAGCTTAAAAATAGCTGCTTTAGTATCAGAAATCCTCCAAAAAAAAGCCCTCTGCTTTTACCTTTACTTTTCTGTTTTCAATTCCTCCCATAGGATGTAGTAAAGGACAATAACTTGACTGAGATTGAAAGGTAGAATTCATTTAGATTTTAAAAGAACTTTGAATTTTTTGCAGAACATGAATGTGTCTGGATTCAGAGTCTGCGTAAAGGAACTATACGAGACCAGATATGATCCTGTGTCAGTGAATTATGCAGTCCTAACAGGTCTGTATGCAACCAATATTTAGACGGATAAGATGCAACTCATTTAGAAAACCTTGTCACGTATGAATGAATTTCTGTTACTCTTTTCAATGCAGCTGCCCCTAAATTGTGGAGCGATCTTCCGGGCTCTATCAGATACACCCAGTATTTAAACAAGTTTGAGAAAGCCATTAAGACTTTTATTTTTTTCTTTTCATTCCTAACTTATGTTACAACGAATCGTTAGGATTATTAGACTTGGATTCACTTTTCGACCATCACAGTTTTTTATGCAACTCACTTTTTAATAAAATCCTACACGACAGAGAGCATAAACTACACCTCCTGCTTCCCCAAAGACATTCCCTAAATACAACTTAAGGCAAAGCCGAATGTTTGATATTAGTTACAAAACTAACCGCACCAAGAACAGTTTTATTAACTTTTAGTGCAATTTAATTAATAATAATATGAATGTAGTTTAAGTTGTATATTTTATAGAACATTTCATCTCCAGTAAATTATGGAAAATTTTAGCTACACAGTTATTGTACCTAATTTAGCCAGTGGCTACCATGTACATACCATTTAAGTGTCCAGTATCCAGTATTTGCAAAAGCTTTTTAATTCCTTGTATGAAAGTTTTTTATTTCTACATCTTCTTTGAGAACATTTTTATTTTTCAATTTAAGTATCTATGTAGAATTGAAATTTTAACATTTAATTTTAATAAGTAATTGAAAATTCTTATATTGATAATTGTGCAATATTAGTCAAATGATAATAATAGTAATAATAATAATAATAATAATTATTATTTATTAAATGACCCATTATTTCCAGACATCTGTAATCCCGGATGGAGCTACTTCAATGGTTTCTGTTACTTCACAAGTGATACTTGTACAGATTGGACCACAGCAGTAACAAAATGTAGACAAAAAAACTCAGTCCTCGTTGATGTCAGGAAAAATGAAGAAAATGTTTACATTCAACATCGCCATAATGGAGATAAATCCTGGCTGGGTTATAATGACGGATCAACAGAGGGCGACTTTACTTGGGTTGACCGTGGACATGGAAACTTTACATCCTGGGCCAAGAATCAGCCAAATAACTTCAAAGAAGAAGATTGTGTGCACGCACTTGGCGTGAAATACAGCTATGAATGGAACGACGTGCAGTGTAGTGATTGTCATAAGTTTACTTGTAAGAAAGGTATGTCAAAGAGGTCGAATGAAGCTTGTAAGATATCATTTAGTGTAAAATGTAGCAATCACTCACAAAGGTATAGTCTTACCAGGCTTATGACCCATCCCTTCTGAAGTCTACTATGGTTACGTCTCAGCCAAAAGCAACAAGGAATATAGCTACTCCACCTCCTAAGAGGGATGTCAGTCCATTGCATGTTTTCCCTCATAGCATTTTGTCAACTTTTCGTTCAGGACAGCTTCCTGGTCTCTATTTATGCTCCCGGGTGGGAAGTATTTCTCGTGCTTAACAGCACAATTCATTATTTATAGCTGTGGGCCGAAAGCTGGAGCTGGCTTTTTTTTTTATCTTCTTTGTGCTGAAAGGGTGATTACCCAATCTATTCCTTTACTAGACTTAGATGAATGTGAAAATGAGCTTAATTACTGTCACAAGATGGCCACGTGTACAAATGAACGTGGCTCGTACAAGTGCAAGTGTAACGCTGGATACCTTGGAGATGGATTTCATTGTTATAGATTCAGTGAAGGTGAGATATG